AATTGCTTTACAATATTGTGTTGGTTTCTACCAAACATCAACATGACATTGACTTTTTTATGAATGTTAAGTCAATCTTGCATTTCTGACATAAAGTCTACTTGGTCATGATGTATTTTCCTTTTTATTTATTACTGAATTTAACTTGCTAAAAGTTTGCTTTAAATTTTTGCATCTGTGTTCCTGAGACACATTGATCTGAGATTTTCATTTCTTGTATTTGTCTTTTTTTGATATCAGGGTCTCATAGAGTGAGTTAGGAAATATCATTTTAAATTTTCTGGAAGAGGTTGTATGCAGTTGGTATTATATCTTCCTTTAACATCTGGCAGAAATTACTGTTGAAGCCACCTAGGCCTGGAGATTTTTATTTATTTGTTCTTTGTAAGATTTTTAAAATACAAATTCAGTTTCTTTAATAAATATAGGGCTAGTTTTTCTTGAGTGAACTATGGTATTGTGTGTCTTTACAGGAACTTTTGGGTTTCCCTGATAGCTCAGTTGGTAAAGAATCTGCTGTAATGCAGGAGACCCCAGTTTGATTCCTGGGTCGGGAAGATCCACTGGAGAAGGCCTAGGCTACCCACTCCAGTATTCTTGGACTTCCCTTGTGGCTCAGCTGGTAAAGAATTCGCCTGCAATGTGGGAGACCTGGGCTCAATCCCTGGGTTGGGAAAATCCACTGGAGAAGGGAAAGGCTACTAACTCCAGTATTCTGGCCTGGAGAATTTCACGGACTGTATAATCCATGGGGTCTCAGAGTCGGACATGACTAAGCGACTTTCACTCACTCACTTCACTCACAGGAATTTTTCCATTCAGTTGTCAAATTTATTGGCATAAGTGTTTATAACATTCCCACATTAATCTTTTAATATTTATAGAATCCATAGTGATTGCATTGCTCTCATTTCTGATATTGGTTATTTGTGTCTTTTTTCCTCATTAATCAGGTTAGAGATTTATCAACATTAATGGTATCAGAACTGATTTTGGTTTCCTTTATTTTTTCTGTTTTTCTATTTTTATTTAATTGATTTGTGAATTTAGTTCTATTAGTTATTTTATTAATTATTTTTTATGCTTATTTTGAGCTTAATTTGCTCTTCCTTTTCTAATCACTGAAGATAAAAATTAAGACCATGATTTTGAGACTTCTTTACTTTTCTAATATAGACATTTAATACAAGGAATTTCTCCATGATGACTGCTTTAGGGGCATTCTCAAATTGTTGTATGTTGCATTTTATATTCTTTCAGTTTAAACTATTTTCAAATACCCTTTTTGATTTCTTTGACCCATGGTTTGTTTGTTTTAGGGAAATGTTATTTAATTTCTAAGTATTTGGACATTTTCCAGATATCTTTCTGTTATTGCTTTATAACTTCCTTTGTAGTCAGAGAACATACTTTGTATGACTTGAATTTTTATAAATGTATTAAAACTTGTTTTATGACCCATGTGCACTTGAAAAGAATGGATATTCTGTGCTTTGGCAGTCAGAATGTTCTTCATTTTCATTCAGATGCTCAGTTGTGTCCAACTCTTTGTGACTCCATGAACTGCAGCATGCCAGGCTTCTCTGTCCATCACTATCTCCATGAGTTTGCTCAAACTTGTGTGCATTGAGTCAGTGATACCATCCAACCAGCTCATCCTCTGTCATCCCCTTCTCCTGCCCTCAACTTCTAGAACTAGAATGTTTTAGTAAATGCCAAATCAAGTTGATTGATGATGTAGTTGGTCTTCTATATTCTTTACAGATTTTCTGCCTACTTGGTGTATCAGTTATTTACAAGGTATTTAAATTGAGTATAATTGAGAATTTATTTCTTTTTGCAGTTTCACCAGTTTGAGACCTTACATTTTGAAACTATTTTTAGGTATACAGGCACTTAGGATAGTTATATCCTCTTGACTAATTGACCCTTTATCATAATGAAATGATCTTCATTATGGTAATATTCTTTGGTGTATAATCTACTTTGATATTAATATAGAGACTCCAAGTTTGTTTTTGACTGATTTTAGCAGTTTATTTTCTCTTCTTTTACTTTTAATCTTAATGTCTTTGAATTTCTTATAGGCAACATATTGTTCGGTCTTGTATTTTTGTCTGTTCTGTCAATGTCTTTCTCTTAATTGTTCTTTTAATTAGATCACTTACATTTAATGTTATTATTGTTACAGTCAGATTTAAGTCTATCATCTTGCTATTTATTTGCTATTTGTCCCAACTCTTCTTTGTTCCCTTTTTCCTCTTTTTTTCTTTGGGATTATTTTTAAGACTCTATATAATCTCCTTTGTTGTCACCTGTCACCTGTAACTCCTAATCTTTTTAAAAAATGTTATGGTTGCTATAGGGTTTATACTATACATTTTTATCTTATTTCAAGTCATATTACACCTTTATACATAAGAACTCACATATACATAGTATTACACCTTTATAGCATAAGAATTTCACAGTTTCATCCTCTCCTCTTAGCCTTGCCTAGAAAATCCCATCGACAGAGGAGCCTGGTAGGCTACAGTCCATGGGGTCACAAAGAGTTGGACACAACTGAGCGACTTCACTTTCATTTTTTTCTTAACCTTTTCACAACTATTTTCATAGATTTCATTTATATATTTTATAAGCCAGGGAGTACATTACTTTTTTTAAAATAGTTGATTATTTTTTAAAGAGATTTAAGTAATATGAAAACAGTCTTACTTGTTTGTCCATGTAAGTACATTTTTCATTGCTCTTAATTCCTTTATGTAGATCTAGATTTCCATTTGTTATCATTTTTCTTCCTTTTAAAAGATTTCTCTTAATATTTCTTGGGAACATTGGACTGCAAATCTACTGGTGGTAAATTCTTTCAGATTTTGATTTTGAAATAATTTTCACTGGTATCAAATTTCAGCTTAACATTGTTTTCCTTTCCATACTTTAAATATGTTGCTTCACTCTCTTCTTATGTGCTTTATTTCCTCCACGTAACCTGCTGTCGTCATCTTTTTAAAAATATTAATATGTTCTTTTCCTGACTGCTTTTAAGATTCTCTCTTTATCATGGTTTTGAGCAGTTTGGTTACAATGTGTTTTGGTGTCATTTTCTGTCTGTTTCTTGTGTTTAGTGTGCATTTAGCTCCTGAAATCTCTGACTTTTTACTTTTCCTTAAATTTGGAAAAATTTTGGCCTCTATATCTTCAGACACTTTTTTCTGTCCCCACTACAATCCACTTTTCTTTAGGGACTGAAATTACATATGTATTAGGCAAGTTAAAGTTCTTTCACAGCTCACTGATTTTTTAAGATGGTTTCTATCACTACATCTGCAAGTTCATGTATCTTTTCATCTGTAATATCTGATCTTCCATTAATCCCATCTAGTATATTTTCATCTTACATATAATTTTCATGTGTAGAAGTTCAATTTGACTTTTTATATTCCATGTCTCTAGTTAACTTTTTAAACATAGTTAACATTTAAACATATGGAATACAATTATATAACCCTTAATATTCTTCTCTGCTAACTTAATATCTGGGTCAGTTTTGACTGACTCATCTTCTCATTATGGGCTGTTTTCATGCCTATTCGCATGCCTGGTGATCTTTGTTTGGATGTTAAAGTTTATGAATTTCAACCTATTGAGTGCTGGCTGTTTTTGTATTCCTATCAACACCCTTGAATTTTGCCCTCTCATACAGTTACTTGGAAACAGTTTTATCCTTTTAGGTCTTACTTTCCTGGTTCATTAAGTGGATGTAAGCAGGGCTTACCCAAGGGCTAATTATTCTCCACTACTGATTATTATACTAATTATTCTCCACTACTTCCTTGGTGGCTCAGATGTAATGCGGGAGGACCCAGGTTTGATCCCTGGGTCGGGAAGATCCCCTGGAGAAGGGAATAGCTACTCACTCCAGTACTCTTGCCTAGAGAATTCCATGGACAGAGGAGCTTGGCGACAGTCCAAAAGAGTCAGACATGACTGAGTAACTAACACACTGAGATAAAAGCTTTCTGAATACTTTACCCTCTGCCTCATGAATTATGAGTTTTTCCAGTCTGGTCAGTGGGAACAGGCACTGCCAGCCTTGGTGAGCGCCAGATACTTCCTTTCAATCTTCTTAGAGGAATCTTTCTTCAGACTCACGTAGTTTTCTTACACACATGCTATCAGTATTCCCCCTCCTTTCTTGAGGATGCTAATCTCTGGGGTCTTCTCTGTGCAGCCCTGTCCTCTCTAGTAATCTGTCCTGTGCATTCCAGCCTCCTTGGTCTCCCCAGGTGCTCAACTCTATTTCCTCAGCTCAGTCCACAGGGTAACTTCTGGGTTACCCTGCATGATTCAGAAGCTTTCAGAGCAATAAGCTGGGGCAATCAAGTGTCTCACTCTGTTTCATTTTTCCATTTCTCATGTCTGATGTCCTGTCTTTTGACAACCATTGTTTCATGCCCTTTTTGCCTATGAATTGTTTTGTTGTTGTTGTTTGGTAGGTTTTTTGTTGATTGGTTGGTTACTTAAGACAAGAGGATAAATCTCATCCCTTCATCTTAGCTGGAAGTGAAAGTTTAACATGTCATTTTTTTCCCATTTCAAAGTTACTTGGGGTTCAACAGATCTAATCTGAGCTCTTTGAGAGTTGTTTCAGCTCTGCTGATTCCTACTGACATATATATATATATATGTTGTATATAATATATAAAATACATCAGTATGTATGTATATAAACATATATATATATATATACACACACATATGGTATATACATAGGACAAAGAATGTTTGATTTAGTTAAAACTTGAAATCCATCTGAAAGAAGTAACTTCTAGCCACTAGGAGCTTTTTGGATAGATGCTAATTGTTTCAAAGAAGCCATGGTTATAGTATTGAAATTTTCTTAAATTCTAGCCTCAATTTCTAGGAAAAATATGTATTTCTAAAAGTAATGGTGGAAATTATCATTAATACTTTTGTTTTTCTTATTTAAAAATTAGAGGGTAATGTATATAAAAATATGCAAGAATCACAGGAAACTCACATATCCAACCACCTGGAAGAAATTGTTGCTGCCGTCAGCATAGCACCTAGAAAGAAACTGCAAAACCAGCTGCTTCAGAGAGCACTGTTCCAGCCTCCTCGAGAGAAACTCCACCTCTCTGAAGAGAAAGCAAAGTCGTATGCCAGCAGCCATGAGGTAAGGAACCTTTCTTTTTATGCCCGTACTGGTGACTGAGGAGTAGCCTACTTCAGGTTGCGTTCGTACTCTCAGGAGCTTGCCATGAGAGAGAATGCGTGGCAGCACGTTTTGGTCGTGTGAGTGAATCAGTACCTCAGGGCACAGTCAGCATGCTCGCCGAATGAGTGCACAGAGGAGCAAAGGAGCCTGCCCTACCCTTCGACAAGTGCACCCTTGGCGGACTGGTTGTGGCTTGACCTGCTGAAGTGGTTCCCGTGAGTCGGTAAGTGTTTCTTGAGCTCCTCCTGTGTGCCAAGTCTCCGCCCTGGGACACGGCACAAAGCAGATGAAGCTTCTACTCTTGANGCTTCCCTTGTGGCTCGGCTGGTAAAAAATCTGCCTGCAGTGTGGGAGACCTGGGTTCGATCCCTGGGTTGGGAAGATCCCCTGGAGAAGGGAAAGGCTTCCCACTCCAGTATTCTGGCCTGGAGGAGTCCATGGACTGACTGTATAGTCCATGGGGTCTCAAAGACTCAGACACAACTGAGCGACTTTCACTTCACTTCTGATGTGTACCAGGTGTTGTGGAGGGGCTCTCAGGGCGTGGATGGGAAAGCTATAACCTCTGCCTCAGAGGATCTCATAGCCTGGTTGGGAAGATAGATGATTAATGATGGTCAGCATGAGTTCTGTGACAGACACAAGCTCAGGTGAGACAGATGCCAAGCCTGGGGTTGAGGGGAGGAGGCGTGAGCAGTGACCCTAGAGGTGGAGGAGCAACAGCGCCTGAGGCGTGCTGTGGGAATGGGAGCTACTTGGGCTGCGCTGCTAACAGTGCTTAGGGAGGGGAGAGGGCCGGATCAGACCAGCAACGATAGTGTTCTGAGCGGAGGTGGCAGACGGGCGAGAGTCAGCGGTCTGAGAGCACACAGCCTGTTTGGTGAAATACGTGGAACTATCTGAGAAGCAGGCTTTCGTTATACAGGGAAGGAACCGAGGTTGGATTACAGACCAGAGCTGGGGCCCGGAGAGTGTTCAGCACCCAGAAAAAGTTTACGCTTTCTCTTCAGGGTGCTGGAAACTGTCACAGGATTATAAGCCAGGAAGGGCCATGAGCATCTGAGCTTCTGGAATGATCACTCAGACGTCAGATACCTGAATAGAGGAGGAGGAGCACGGACGTAAGTTGGAGGAGGAGGACCCGTTCAGAGGGCGTTTGCAATAATCCCAGCAAGGAATTATGAGGGCCTAAAATATGGCAGAGGCAGTGGAAACACTGAAATCTCTTGATAAGAATTTGGAAATATGAATCGGTGAAACCTGGTAACAAAGGGGAACAGGAGGTAGAGAGGCAAGAGTGAGCCCAAGAGGGTTTATACGATTCCTGACCGAGGTTTCAACTTGGGGGCCAGGAACTTGTCAGTCCCCGTAGTTACTGTCGTGAATACAGGAACAACAGCAGGAACAGGGAGAGAAGGTGTGAATTTGGTCTTGATATTCATTACACACCAGATGTCCTCTAGTACTAGTGTATGCCAGTCTGTGTGCTGTGTAGGTCTCAGCTGGCAGCCTGCTCACCAGAATCATGCAAGAGAATCAAGCCCTAATGCCCTAAGGCATTTGGTGTACGTGAAGAATCAACTTCTCTTCTATGCATCTAGAATGGTGGTGGTTGTTTAGTTGCTAAGTCATGTCCAGCTCTTTTGCGACCCCATGGACTGTCCCTCTGTCCATGGGATTTCTGAGGCAAGAATACTGGGTTGCCATTTCCTTCTCCATAGGATCTTCCCTACCTGGGATCAAACCCACGTCTCCTGCATCGGCAGGCAGGTTCTTTACCTCTCAGCCACCAGGGAAGCCCATCTAGAATGGTGCCAAATCATTTCCTGTGATGCGCAGTTCAGATGAAGAATCCCTGGATTCACTGGTGAACAGGACAGACAGTGGGCAAGCCCCCATGCAGCTAAGGAGCAGTAGACTTTGTAAATAACTAGCTAACCAGAGATTGTACCAGGTGCTCAGGAGGAAATACAGTGGGCCTGTCTTAGGTAAGGGAGGGCCTCTGTGAGGTGACATCTGAGCTGACACCTGAAGAAGAGAAGGATCCAGCATAGAGGAGCTGAGGGAAAGGAGTTCTAGGGACAGGGAACAGCACACATAAAATTTTGGTTTGGCACAAGCAGTGTAACAATGTTCCAAGTGATGAGAAGAAGCTTTGGGCTGATGTGAAGTGCCATTGGAGAGACAGTTCACCTGTTCTCCAAGTCTCAGGTTAAGTGCCCTAGGAGCCTTTAAAGTGTTTTTAAGAAAGTATTAACTTGACTAATTTGCCTCTTGAAATACCATTCTTTGGTAATTTTTTACTATAAAAAACCTATCAACTTACAGAAAAGTTGTAAGATGTACCAACTGTTAACATTGACTTTACTTTTCACACACACTGTCATTATTTTTCTGAATATCAGAGAGTAAGTTAAAAAATACATGAGCTTTTACCCCTAAAGATGTCAGTGCCTATTTCCTAAGAATAAAGAAATTTCTCCAACATAACCACACTACAATTATTGAAGTTCATTTCAGTTCAGTCGGTCAGTCGTGTCCAACTATTTGCAACCCCATGGACTGCAGCACGCCAGGCCTCCCTGTCCATCACCAACTCCCGGAGCTTACNGCCTGCCAGGCTCCTCTGTCCATGGGATTCCTCAGGCAAGAATACTGGAGTGGGCTGCCATACCCTCCTCCAGGGGAACTTCCCAACCCAAGGATTGAACCCTCATCTATTATGTCTCCTACACTGGCAGGCAGGTTCTTTATGACTAGTGCCACCTGGGTAGGCAGTCTTAGAGCAAGACTTAGTGGTGTAAAACAAAAAGTCATCAATTTCGCTCATGAACCCACAGCCCGTGCAGAACTCAGTGGGGTCTGGTCCTCTGCTCCATACAGCATCAGCTGGGCTCAGCAGGTGTGGAACATCTGCTGCCAGGGTGGCAGAGTTCTGCAGCTGACTGACTGCTGCTGTCGTCAGCTCATTTCCGTGGAGGCCTCTCTATGGGGCCGCTTAGGCTTCCTCGTGAAACCATGGTTGAGCTATTAGTCTCCTGGGGCTGCCGTGGCAAAATACCACAGACTTGGTGGCTTCAACCAAGAAAGTTTATTTTCTCACAGTTCTGGAGCCTGGAAGTCTAAGGTCAAGCTGCTGAAAGGGTTGGTTTTATCCTACGGCCTTGCTGATTCCTGCCCGCCATGTCCTCACAAGGTCTTTCTCTGTGTGTGCCCACTTCTCGTGTCTCCTCTTCTTACAAGGACACCAGTATATTAGATGAGGCCCCCATTGTGACGGCCTCATTTTAACTTCTTCACCCCCTTCAAAGTTCATCTGTCCAAATGCAGGTATATTCTGAAGTACTTAGGACTCCAACAAATGAATCTAGGGGTGGGAGACACCTTTCAGCTCATAGCAAGTTCCAGGAGTGAGTACATAAGGGGAGACAGAGAGTAGGAGCTGCCAGTTCTTTAAGGCCTGGGCCCGAAAAGTGGTGCTGCCTCACCGCCTCCATGTTAGTTTAACCAACAGTCATAAACCCAGATTCAAAGAAAAGGGACATAGACTACCATCTCTGGATGGAAGGAGTATCAAAGTATTTTGGAGCTGTATTTTAAAACCACCAGCCTTGTTTTGAGAATAGTGCTGCTGTAAGCTGACCTGGAGCTAGAATCCACACCATTCACTACTCTCTTTGTCCTGGCAATGGATGAAAATGTGCTTCTTACTCCTTTAACAAAACCTGTTTGCAAAGTCCTGCTGACCTCATTGGCTGTGCTAATATCCCAGCTACTAAAGAAGATGTTTGAATTGAGAACTAGAGGGTGTTATTTGAAAACTACCACCACTGGCCCACTTATGTCTGAATATGTAGGAGCTGGTCATTTATGGGCAGCTTCTTTATTCCATAACATTTTCCACTATTTACTATAAACTTAAATGTACTATAAATTTTACTGTTTTTTATGTATATTGTCTATTTCACCCAACCAGAAGAATACCCTGCCACCCAAATCAGATCTTACTTTTGTTCTCTGATGTATCACACATATTTAAAACCATGCCTGGCCCATAATCATCACTCTAAAGATGTATATTGAATGGATAAAAGTACACATTGATTTTGTACCTTGTTGTCTAACTAGTGGGCCTGTTTTTCCTTCCTTCAGTACAAAAAGGCTCTCCATGAGCTTGTGCACTGCATGGCTCTGACAAGGATCTGCTATGGTGATTCCCACTGGAAGCTGGCCGAGGCGCACGTTAACCTGGCTAAGGGTTATCTTCAGCTGAAAGGTGAGTCTGCCTCAGGCTGCGGAGGGTCAGCCAGTTGGTTTCTGCTTTTTTCCAAGACTTGGCTTAACTTTAGGAGGGTCAGATTTTCTTGTATGTTCTCCTCTCCACACACTGAGAAGCCATTTCCTTTCACAGTCCATACAATTTTCTAATACAATAGGTAAAAAAGAGAAGATTTTAGAACTGCAGAGCTTTATTTTTTATGATCTTAAAAACAGTTCTTAGGAGAAAATTGATTTGTTAGCTTTGAAGGCATTGTAGAAATGGCCTAGGGTCTAGAGTCAGAGCCTAAAATATAATCCATTCATATATGTATTGATGGAAAATCTCTTGCCTGTGAGACCAAACCCCGCCCCCCAAAATAAAAGGCTAAATCAAGCTGGCAGTAACCAAATGATAACTTGTTGATCCATACACCTTAAAAATCCAAGGGTAGGTCTTACTGTAGACTTAGCCAGATCCATGTTTTCAAACAACACCATCAGATTTCCGTTCCTCTCTTTCTCCAACACTTGACTCTGCTTTCCTTTGTATAGGCTGCATTCTTAGCCCAACTTTGCCTACATGGTGGCAGCAAGGTTGCCAGCAGCTTCAGGTTTCCTTCCTCAGCGCTTATTCCCAGGATAAAAAAGAACGCATCTTGCTCAGGGCTGGTGCACTGGGAAGACCCAGAGGGATAGGGAGGGAGGCGGGAGTGGGGATCGGGATGGGGAACACATGTAAATCCATGGCTAATTCATGTCAATGTATGGCAAAAGCCACTACAATATTGTGAAGTAATTAGCCTCCAACTAATAAAAATAAATGGAAAAAAAAAAAGAATGCATCTTTACCAAAATCTCACAGTTTGGGATTTTTATTGGGCTGACTTGGGTTGTATGCCAAAGACAAGAACTAGTCCAAGGAAATGGCAACCCCCACCCCAGTACTCTTGCCTGGAGAATCCTGTGGGCAGAGGAGCCTGGTGGGCTGAAGTCCATGGGCTTGCCAAAAGTCGGACATGACCTAGCAATGAACATACACACGTGGTCTGATTGGTAAGACCTGACTTTGCTTCCATTGGATCCTGGATCAGAGGCTGGCCTTGGCTAAATCACATGGACTGAGTGTGTAGGGGCACCCTCAAAAGAAAACAGGGCAAGGGAGAATGGATGCAGAGAAGGCACAACCATAAACTGGCAACCTCGGACAAGATGTACAAGAGCACGTCTCTGTACTCTGTCCCTTCAACGAAAAGAGATGATATTGATAACGATGCTGCTGTCTTCCCAGCATCACTGATTGGCCCAATGAATGAATAAATGAATTGAAGTGAAAAACACCACAATGCTATGCATACAACTGCCACCCAATAAATTTAGCCGAACCTGACTATAGACTGGTCCTACCTGTTAGATCAAAGACTATTAGAGCCAGAGGGGACCTTGGAGATCATCTAGTTCAAACCACACCCCTATGCCCCCTATTTTCCAGATTCAGAGGAAACAACTAGTTTGATTCGAAACAGGCTGCCCCAGGTCAGACTGTTAATAGATAGCTGCTCCGACACTCAGATCTAGGATTTTGGTGGCCAGTGCCAATGTCCTGGCATCTAGGATTTTAAATGATGTTTTCTCACAACATTCTGCTACCTTTCTGCATTATGGACTTTTTTTACTCAAATTAAAATAAAAGCAGTATCTACTAATTACTGAGGTCTCATTGAGTGCCAGGGACCATGCTATTTTCCACATATAATTTCCCTTAGATATCACCAGGTGGCGCTAATGGTAAAGAACCTGAATGCCAATGCAGGAGACTTAAAAGGTGTGGGTTCAATCTCTGGATCCGGAAGATCCCCTGGAGGAGGGCATGGCAATCCACTCCAGTATCCTTGCTTAGAATCCCACAGACAGAGGAGCCTGATGGGCTACAGTCCATGGGGTCGCAAAGAGTCAGACACAACTGAAGTGAGTTAACACACGCACACAGCCATACACACACACACACACACACACTTCACTACTGTGCTATGAGGCAGGTAATGTTATTATCTCTGTCTACAGTCCATAAAGATATGGCCAAAATTTCTGGGTAAGTGATGGAGCAGGAAATCCTTTCTGGGCAGTGTGATTTCAGAATTAGTGTTCTTGAACCTCAACCCATGCTGCTTCCAGTAGGCTGGGTTCAAGTTCCTTGAAGAAATAGACAAGTGGTTGTCTGAGGAGGCCTTAAAAACAGCTGAGAAAAGTAGAGAAGCTAAAGGCAAAGGAGAAAAGGAACTATAAGCCCATTTGAACGCAGAATTCCAAAGAAGAGCAAGGAGATAAGAAAGCCTTCCTCAGTGATCAATGCAAAGAAATAGAGGAAAACAATAGAATGGGAAAGACTAGAGATCTCTTCAAGAAAATTAGAAATACCAAGGGACTATTTCATGCCAAGATGAGCACAATAAAGGACAGAAATGGTATGGACCTAACAGAAGCAGAAGATGTGAAGAAGAGGTGGCAAGAATACACAGAACTATACAAAAAAGATCTTCATAACACAGATAACCATGATGGTGTGATCACTCACCTGGAGCCAGACATCCTGGAATGCAAAGTCTAGTGAGTCTTAGGAAGCATCACTATGAACAAAGCTAGTGATGGAATTCCAGTTGAACTATTTCAAATCCTAAAAGATGATGCTGTTAAGTGCTGCACCCAATATGCCAGCAAATTTGGAAAACTCATCAGTGGCCACAGGACTGGAAAAGGTCAGTTTTCATTCCAATCCCAAAGAAAGGCAATGCCAA